AGCCCAGAAATAGACCCACACAAACACAGTCAACTGATCTTTGACAAAGCAGTAAAGGTAATTCAACGTGGCAAAAGATAGGTTTCTTGACAAACCGTGCAAAAACAGGGCCATCCACATGCCAAAAAAAAAAAAAAAAAGAAAAAAAAAGGAACCTAGACACTGACTTATACTTATCACAAAAATTAGCTCAACATGGGTCAGAGACCTAAATCTAAATAGCAAAACTGTGAAACTTCTAGGTCACTACATGGGAGAAAACCTAGGTGACCTTGGGCTTGACAATGAGTTTTTAGATACAAAACCGAAAGCACGTTCCATGGAAGAAAAACTGCTCAGATGGACTTCATCCCAATCAAAAGACATCTTTCGATGTGTCTTTGAAAGACACTGTTAAGAGACAAAAAAGACAAGCCGCAGACTGGGCAAAAGCAGTTGCAAACCTTATCTGATAAAGGACTTCTATCCAAAGTATATAAGAACTCTGAAAACCCAATAGGAAAACAACCTGATTAAAAGGTGGGCAAAAGATCTGAACAGGCACCTTACCAAAGAAGACATACAGAGCAAATGAGGATACGAAAACATACTCAACATCGTATTTCATCAGGGAAATGCAAATTAAAGCAACTACACACTGCTACACACCTATTAGAAGGACCAAAGTCTGAAACACTGACACTACCAATGCTGACGAGGGTGTGGAGAAACAGGACTCTCATTCATTGCTTGTTGGATCACAAAATGATACAGCACTTTGGGAGACAAGTTGGCAGTTCCTTATAAAACTAAAGGTACTCTTATAATTCGGTGGTCACACTGCTAGGTATTTACTGAAGTGAGTTGAAAACTTATGTCTATACAAAAAGTCCGAGCACAAATATTTATAGTGGCGTTATCTATAATTGCCAAAATTAGAAGCAATCAAGATGGCTTTCAGTCGGGCAAGAGGAGGCTAGCGTTAACTAGTTGAAGAGTAGGTACGATTTTTTGAGACAAGTAAATTACGATTTTTCTAAATGACCCGATAAACCTCAGTGTAGTTCCCAAAGTGGATTAATACTTCTCTATTTCCAGATGATGTAACTTTTATTTTATTAAGATAGTCAAAACATGACTAACAAACTCGTTTCTTAAAATGAATGCAAAGGATTTAAAAATTGCTAAACGCAAATCTTAAAAGTTCTCATTACGAGAGCAAAAAATCTGCAACCACGTATGCTGGTAGATGTTAACTAGACTTCACCGTGGTGATCATTTCACAATACACACAAACAGCTCATCATTTTGTGCACCTGAAACTAATATAATGTTAAATATCAATTATATCTCAATAAAAAGAAACATGAATACAAAGGCACTGCTTTTAGTTTTTAAAATGAATTACAAATGATTGCAAATTTTGAGATAAAACTTTCATGTTCAAGTTACATTTTTTTAATGTATTATATAGATCTATCCAAAGGATAATATAGCTTTCAATATTTAATTGTAAACACATTAAAATAATTTTTGAACTTAAGATTCATGAGGAGTGACATGTGTATAGGTAATACTGCATAATACCATGAACTTAAAAGAGAGCTATTCTTTATAACTTAAAAAATACATAACACCAGGATGCCTTGGCGGCTCAGGCGGTAAGCACCCAACTCTTAGTTTTGGCTCAGGTTGTGATCTCATGGTTTGTGAGTTCGAGCCCTGCGTCGAGCTCTGCACTGACAGCTCAGAGCCTGCTTGGGTTTCTCCCTCCCTCTCTTTCTGCCCCTCCTCAGCTTGCACTCTCTTAAAATATAATACCAAATAATGAGTCCTTACATGTTTGGCCTGAAAAATCCTTGCAAGATTATATGTTTATAATGACATCACAATTTCACGAACAACACAAGAACAGATAGTACAAAGTATGGGAGGAGCGCTGCATATACCGTATATTTATTCTGTACTTTAGAATTCCAGGAAACTGAATTGTTCCACATTAGATCAGATAATAACTAGAGTCTAACTTAGAGTCCAGTGTAGAAAATATGGATTTTAAACCTAAAAGACTACTAAAACTAAAAGAACCTGAAATTATTTCAACAGAATAGACACTATTTTTCCTATTCATTAATTTCGATTGCAAAACTAAAACATTAGATTATATGTAACCAATCATTCCTTCCAATTCTTTAATGAATTTATGTACTTTTCTCATTCAAAACTTCCATTTCATCACAGACAAGTCTATAATCTTATATACGACTAATAGGAAAATGAACACCAAAAAACCGGCTGAGTCCACAGTCATACTGCAAATGTAAACAAACCAACCAACACCAGACTAAATCTTCCTTAAATTTCTCAAGTAATCCACATTTCTTTTTAATGTGGAAACTCACTGAACTTTCCACCTCTAACTACACAAGAAAGGCTAACCTGTACACTTATCTTTTAGTGGGAAGTGGTGAATCCAAGAGATCGGAAAAATATTATTTTCTCCCCAGTCCAATCGGTTTCTATTCTGTAACCAGAAAGATACTGAATATTGAAATGAGTACCTGACACACTAAACATTTATTCAAATACAATCTAAAATAGATCATTTAACCTTAAAATCGTCTGGACGCTTAAAAAAATCGTAAGTTTGTGTTATTTCCTATGTGATCTCCCCAGTCTTGCACACGGCATCCCTTTTCCAAATAAATTTCACTTAAAATAACCGCACGGTCCAGAGACCAACTTTTCTGTACAATTATATTGGTATTTTTTAGCAAATGCCCGTCACCCGTAATTTAAAAAACACAGTTAAGTCTTCACTTTGTTTTACGCTGTCTTCACTGTCAAAATGTTATGAATTAATTAAGATCACTCCGTCTTCTCATTCTATTCTTCCACAGATCCTAAAGCGTTTCTCTACTTGTTCACATAGCTATCCGATTTCAAAGCTCCTTTTAGTCCTCACGAAGTTTGCATGACCCAGATGGTTTATAGGAAAACAGGAGATCTCTCTGAAATTGGGACAAGCCATTATCTTTCCTCGTGACGCCTCTATGAAATTAACAGAGGGAAGAGAGGAAAATTCTACAACAGCTTCCACAATAAATCCAATACCTTCCGTGACAGTTTATTTTGAGAGCGATCATATAGATGTTACATCTAATGAAAAGCCCTGTATACTAGGTTCTGTGAATACTGTATTTAGACGTATGAGTTGCGGGAAGAATATAGCAAGCTAGTTTTAAAAAAGTGAAGGAAAATGGAATATGATAATCAGAGATAAAAAATATTTGGAGTTGAGCTGTGCAGCAGAAATAGTGTTCATAGTTAGTGAGGGTACAAGTTTAGGAATGCTGTAACTTCCTAATCGAAAACAAAATAGTGCTCACCTACATTTAAGAAGAAGGTGGAATACTAAAAACCTGAAGTTTTTTTTTTTTTTTTTTTTTTTTAGTGGGGGGGGGCATCTGCTAATATTGGGAAGATAAACCTATAGTAAAGGTTAGCAAAGAGTGGGCTTTGGCTCTAAGAATAAAAGGCAAAAGGGAGAAAAGTCTGTGACTGAGGATCATAGCTCACCTCATAATCCATGAAAAGAGAGACTACATTTTTTTTAATTTTTTTTTTTTCAACGTTTATTTATTTTTGGGACAGAGAGAGACAGAGCATGAACGGGGGAGGGGCAGAGAGAGAGGGAGACACAGAATTGGAAGCAGGCTCCAGGCTCTGAGCCATCAGCCCAGAGTCCGACGCGGGGCTTGAACTCACGGACCGTGAGATCGTGACCTGGCTGAAGTTGGACGCTTAACCGACTGCGCCACCCAGGCGCCCCGAGACTACATTTTTTAAAGATGTTTACTTATTTGTTTTGAAAAAGAGAGAGACAGAGAGAGAGAGAGAGGAGTACAAGTGGGGGAGGAGAAAAGAGACGGAGAAAGAGAATCCCAAGCAGGCTCCGTCTCTGCCAGCACAGAACCACATGCAGGGCTTGAACTCACCAACTGTGAGATCATGACCTGATCTGAAACCAAGAGTCAGACGCTTAACCGAGGGAGCCACCCAGGTGCCCCAGGAGACAGCACTATTCTTTTAATTTTTAAAAAATGTTTTCCTGGTTTTTGCGTGCGCGCACGCGCGTGAGAGAGACAGAAAGACAGAATAGCAGGGGAGGGACAGAGAGAATCCCAAACAGGCTCTGCAGGTGTCAGTCTACAGCCCAACATGGGGCTTGAACTCAGGAACTAGGAGATCATGACCTGAGCCAAAACCAAGAGTCAGAAGCTGAGCCACCCAGGAACCCTGACACTACATTTTTAATAAGACAAAGGTGAGAAGTACAAGAGAAAAATATCAGAAATACAGGTAAAGACCAATACAGGAAGTTAAATATACAATATTAACAGTTCCAGAAAACACTAATGGAGGGAAAGAAGTATCAAAGACACAGTAGGAAAATTTCCAGAGGTGGAGGGATTTTCATCTGGAAGGGCCTATCAAGGGTGGTGCAGAAGTATGAAAATGCTCATGCCCAGTTATGAAATTAAGTAGGCCATGATGGGGGAGAAGGGTGGGCCAGGGGAATCACTGCTTTCAATTATTAACTGTGATGTTTTTTGATTTTGGAAAAACATTAAATATTTAATGATAATCAACATTAAATTTGAGGCAACATCACTTATTTTCATGCTCCATATGTGGACAAATGTTTGTAATTATAGTTAATAATTCCATCTAAATATCTATAGTTATCTAAGATGTTATATACGTATCTTGAAAACTGACTATATTGACAATGAAAGGAACCTCGATTTCAGGTGCTTTTGAAGTTCCGTAATTTACACTAAAAATTTTCAGCAAATAAAAATAAAGTTAATGCCACAATCATGATGTTTGACTTACAGTTAGGCCATGCCCAAACTTGCCCAAACTGTGAAACCACTACATGCGTATATGACTATAGAAAAATGCATTTAAACCACCAGAAATAGAGCCTGCAGGACTAATAAAGCGCACGTAATTACCTGCTGCGGGATCCGTGACTGCCTGGCTGGTGATGCCAGATGGTGGCTCTTGAAGCTGGTAAGTGGCATTCGTGGACGGCGTGGTTGGGCTGGTGCTGCTGCTCGTCATATAATGTGCTGGGTACGGTGAGCTGTTATAATACTGTGCGTACTGACCCTGGCCGAAACTGGGATAAGTCGGATAGTCCTACCAAACCAACCACACGAGAATAACCTGTCAGAATATTGCTCCTCATTTCTTACTTTCCAAAGGGCAACTATATGGTGTTTCTGGGTCTTCTCTGAATTCACAGAGGAGCACACTAGCACCCATTGACTCAAATGTCCCGACTTGCAAACAAACTGCATGTAAGATCAGGTCCACTCTTCCTATTTCTTCGATTCCATGATGCAGTACTAGGTAAAATCAAACAAATCTGAAAACCAAACACTCTGAAAACCATATAGGACTGCTAAAGAGATTTTTTTTTTTAAGAAAAAAAAAATACATATATTAAAAGGCTCAGGTAAGCCCTCACAGTATACTATAAACAGATCTTTCTTTATATAAGAAAATCATCTGTTGCATTAAAAAATTTTTTTTCTGAAGTTAAACTGGCTTTTAAAATTACCTGCTGTGAACTGTTAAATCCAGAGGAATTTGTGAGTGAATTATTTCCTGTATATAATCCTGACGATGTTGTAAAACTGCTACCTAAAACAAAATGAAAAGAAATACGGGTGACTGAACTATGCAGAATAATGTGCCCATAAGAAATCATTATTTAGATAAAACAGAGTTGAAGTTCATTGCAAACACACTTGGTTTATCTTTAAAACCAGAATCCATGGCCATGACAAAATCGTTTCTTGAAATAGTTGACAATCTTACTTTCACTATACTGCAAAGGATTAAAGAGTAAAGAGGTTTGAATTTCTGAGGACGTAACATATAAACTGGGGACAAAATGATACATCTGTGCAAAAATATTAGTCACTGAACTTTCCATTTCAATTTGTAAAACGCACCAGGATTTTTTCATAGCTTTAAATATACATAATGTAAAATGATGGGATCTGATGAAATGATCTTGAAAGTTCTTGCAAGGTCAAAAACAACAATGCTACTTTCGAGAACTTGAAATGCTTTCAGACTTGTTCTTATCGTTATAATGGCCCACCGAAAAAGCTGATTATTTCACTTCACAAAAGAACAATGGCAACTCTTGAAGTCCTTCATAAGACAAGAATCAAAGAGGAAGGTGATCAATGTTTTGTGTATTCCGTGTGCTCTCTAGGTAACATTCTGTTTGCAGAACATCTACGTAGATGTGCTCAACAATAAATAGTTGTCACCGTGCAGGATACAAACACGAAAGCAAACCTCAGTTCCCTCCCTCGTTTTATTTACCATCTTATTGTGAAACTATTCAAAGCAACAATATACTATCTTTGGTGATATTAGCAAAGAGTTTTGAAAAGATCAGGGATTGGAAAGTGTGTAAAAAATGCGATTCATAGGCTGCAAAATGGGAATCCAAATAAGCACAGCCTTTCTGGCTGGGCTATCTGGTCAACATTTAAGTAACTTTTGAACAGCAATTGTACTGCCATTCACTTTAAGATAAAAAAAAAATACGTGGACTTATGCGCAGAGATAGTTAGCAAAGATGTTCTTCAGTGTTGTTTCCAATAACAAAACCTAGAAAGCATTCTTATGTCCCTAACAGGTGTGATTCAGAAAGCAGAACCCTCTGAAGACATTGCAATGGTATTACGATAATGCTAAATTACATGGACAATTTTTTTCATATGATTTTGATAAAGGAAAAACAAAAACAAAAAAATGTCTTGGTAAGTTCATGTGAAATATTTTTAAAATCATAAAAAAATTTTTAAAAGCACAAAAATCTCAGAACTGTTACCCATGGGAGGGTGTAACCATTGGCCACATAATGTTCATGAAGCCCGTGCACATTTTAAAATTTTCTACCCAGAAGCTGTGCTGCTTCTGTAAACAGAAAACCTTCTTCAAAAAAAATGAAAATTTTATGGCAAATGAATGGTATAGGCAATAAACGGGCTGGCGGTTCAAGGATAAAGTCTTCAGTGTGAACTAAGTATTTGCAGACGCCTTCAGGTATGATGTGGTAGTTAAGATATGCCAATGATTTATTCGCTACTCAACATTCAAGTACTACCTTGCGAGTCAGAAAACAGGGTTTCCCGTCATCACTTATGAGCGGTTTGGACTTTGACAAATCGCCTAACCCCTCTAAGACAGAATTTCCCTAACTGTGAAAAGTAGACTTCGTAAGGTTCTTCAACAGATCAGATGAGGAAAGTACAGATTGGAAAGTACAACGAGCAATCTACGGCACCACACAAGTGTTAGGAACAGTTATTGTTTACTTCAGTAAACATTTCTAAAATTCTCCACTGCATTTATGTATCTTTTCACTTTCCCAAACTAGCTAAATATGACTCGATCTCTTTGCATATCTAAAATTCTTTTCCTACTTACTTATCAAACATCTCTGAACTCTGAAAACCTGATCCAAGGCTTTGTTATTTTTATTAAGGGAAAATATTTCCTAAGATAGTTTCACATTTAGTATCACACAGACTCATATTTGAGGTTTCTTTATTTGTGCCTTTCAGGAATACCAATTGTTCAAAGTTCCCATAACATCTAACACGGTGAAGCAGAGAGCTCTCACACTCCTAATACCGACTCCACTGCAAAAATCGGGGCCTCAGATAAGCTTTCTATGTTAATGTTCATTAGCATGTGACAATCACAAAGGTTTAAACGTATGTTAAATACTGGACTCGTGGTGATAATTACAGGGGGATAAAAGGATGACTAGGACATACTTGGGACCTCACAGGGCTTCCCAGGATGACATCAGTTTTGTTTTTGTAAGCTCTGGGCTACATGGGCATGTGGCTCACTATTTAGGTATTTATCAGTGAACAGTTCATTAATATTGATATTATATATAAAGTATATATATATTATATATAAACTTACAACGAGAGTTTAAAACATTCCTTGTAAAATAAAATTTCAATTTCTTCTGGATAAGTGTGTGAATATCAATACCGTTTTTTGACTTTATTATATACATTTAATAGGAAACATTACTTGGGGTTATGACTTGTTACTTTCATTTATACTACACATTTTTGAACAATAAATACTGACCTCAATAATCCCTTTCCACCAAGAAAGTGAGTAAGATATAGAAAATATATTTTAAAAATGGATGTTTTCATTCCATAAGTTATTCCCTGGAACAAAGTAGAAAGGGCCATGGAAGCTATATTGGCACGTATTGGCCACTGAGGTATGACCAAGTAAATCACAGTTCAGTACTTGAAATGGTACCCAAGTGACTTTCCAGACTTAATGCTACTTCTAAGACTGTACATTAGCTGGAATTCAACATAAGTTATATTCATTTACTGGCTGACTGCAGGCTGAGATTCCATTCCATTTAGTATGCTGAAACAGGCTTTAATGGCACTCCTGTGGCCTCCGAGACTTAATGCAACTTCCAAAAGGGTCTGACTTACTTCAGGGAGAGGTGGGCCCACCAGAGAATCGGGCTCAGGCAATATGAACGTTTCACCACCAGAATCGGATCTATAGGGCTGCCCCACCTGCCTTCGTGGAGGACTCAGCCAAAGAGAGCTGCTAACTTTCAGTCCAGGCCACCAACACTGGATTTCTGCAACAGCCTCCTTTACTGGTTTCCTGCCCAACTTCTGGCCCCCTCCAGTTCATTTTCCACAAAGGTAGAATACTTTCTCTAATGAGCATATCTGATCTTCTCACCTCCCTGTTTAAAAAAGTAACCGTTAGTGGGCTTCCTATTGCCCTCAGGATACAATTTAAACTCCTTACCAGAGCCTATTTCTTAGACCCTGGTCTGGCTCCAGATTACCTTTTAGACTTCTTTGGTTTCTTCCCAGTAACCTCAACCCAACTCACCCAGATACACATTCCAGCCTGACTTGACACAAATGAAGCGACATGTGGTTCTCTTAAGGCTATTCTTTGCACCCCTTACTTCCTCCCCATTCGGTCCTAATTTCTAATCAACTTCATAACTGAACAGCGACTAGAAACCCTTTTCTTCAGAAAAAGCTTCCCTGAGTTCCCCTCTTCTCTTTCCTCCTAAGGCTAGATTACTGAGTCTGTCTTGCTGGCTTGCTTTCTTTCTCTGTAATGTATACTTTTAGAGAAATTATAATTTTATATAACATGTACACAAATATGTTTATAGTATCATGACTTATGAATCAGTATTTTAAGCTAATTAATAGTTAGCAAGTTGATACAAGTTAATAAATACCACTTACGTTTAAGCTCATTAGTCCTTTCCCTATTAAATAGGCTAAAAAGAAACTTAGAGCTTATATAATTAATTATTTGTAGTCAACCCATACAAATATCCCCAGTATTACCCCATACAGTAACACCAAAGACAACGTCCACTGAGCATTTCCTGTGTGTTGGGAATGTGTTCATCTTTTACCTGCTTTATCTACACCCTACCACACCTTGATCCTATAGGGAGTATTAATATTCTCATCTTGCAAATAAGGACACACAGGGTTAGGTTAAAATAATACAGCTTTCATGGGGTGAAACTGAAATTCAAAAATAGCTCTGTGCGGTTTGAGAGTCTACACAATGCTCTCTTGTCCTCTCTTACCTATTTTCCATTGCTTTGTGAGAAGTTCTGAAATTCATTCTCGTTTTCTATAGGATTAAGAAAAGCAAATAATAAGAATAGTAGCACTTAAAACTTACTGAGTGGTAACTCTGAGCCGGGCCTCCAAAACAACATTCTACATGTTACAGCTCACTGGTCCCTCACCACCACCCCACAAGGTGAGTACGCTTACGTCCCACTTTACAGATGAACAAACTGCAGAAGACATAAACGGGCACGACGGAGCTGGGGTTCAATCCCAGGCTGTCTTGCCCCAGTGTCGAAATTTCTAATCTCTATGGTATATGTACTGTGCACAAAGTAATTGGGGCTGGCATGGGGTGTTGGGGGCAAGACCTTAAAAAGAATTTTTTTAACCAACATATTGAACATACGGCTAACTGCCACACGATCATCAGGAGATGCTTGTTAAAAAAGCGCACATCTAGGCCCCTCATTGGACATGAAATTACTGTCTCCTTGAGGGAGAAAGGGGAGGGTTTTACCCTGAAAATCCACAGGTTTACCAAACGCCTCCAGTACCTGACTTTTAGGACCACTACGTTTTCTTCCAATTCAGTAGGTGTTTTCACAGCTACTTCAGAAACACGTAACCAGGACAGCCTTTCTTCTTCCACTAAGAAAGTAATCACGCTTGTCAAGCATTTATAGAATGGAAGCTTCGCAGAGACTGTTTGGGGCATTTGGGGTCCTTAAGCTGTGCTAAAGCTCGTAAAGGGAATACAGGGTCCCACCTTGATAGCTGATCTGATGCAGATCGGTGCCAACACCGCCAGATGAATTTCACCAGTTCAGAACACCACAAAGGCAAAATCGCAACCACAGTGCTCCCAAGAAAGTTTTGGTGTGTAGCCGCAAAACCCCCTTCCTACCCGGGGCAGGCCCAGCAGGAGAGGCACATTTGTGTCGAGGGCTGCCGGATGGCGGGCTTGAACACGGACGCTGGAGGCGAGGGAGGGCAAGACACGAC